GTCGCGTCGGGAAACATGAAGTGCGGGGAAGTGGAGGCCAGACACGACATATTGATTTGTGACAACTGGACCAACAGTTTGACGGCATCCTCGCACAGTGGGGGGAATGGGCCGCACATTCGGATCAGAGCCGGCAATACGTTCGTGAAAAACGGCGCCCTTTTGTCGCTCGGCAGCACCGACACCAGTGTTGTGGACACATTGAAACACAGTTTGGCGACACTAAACGACTTGGCGATTGAATATTGTTTGCATAAATACGAACACAAATTCATTGCAAATGCCTTTAAAAATAGAAAATAAAACATTTTCAGATATTTTAAGCCACAATTCATTGCCTTATATTTAGAAACATTAGAGGAAATCATTAATAAGAAACTAATTTTAGTAGTTATTATGATTTACTTGTTTCTGGAGATCCGGTTGTCCTAAGAGTTCCGGAATAAAATCGAGACAAATATGCATCGAAGGGATGGCGGCGACAACCAGTGGTAAGAGATCGTTGGGATAGCCCTGAAAGTGAACCAATTTGGCTATATTTGGGTCACTGATGAAGACTTGATGCAAATGACTGCAAATTAATCCCTGAACTTCTCTCAGATTTGTCAGCAAATTGGTATCCGTTTCGTCCGGTTTAGCGACACAACACTCCAGCAGTATCTGAATGGCTGCGCTCTCTTGTGCTGTCAGTAATGCCGACCGAAGCTCTTCTCTGTCCTTCTCCTCTTCTGGCGAACGCGACGGCGTTTCCAACAAATGGTGGGTTAAGTGTATTCTGGAGGCGGCCAGGAATGCACTCAACATATGTAACGTGATTTCCATGAGCTCTGCATTCCTGAAGATGCGGTCATCGCATCGCAACACATGCAACGGATCGGACATAATGTCACTCCACGTCAAGACCTGGCTTTTGGGCATAAATCCAAAGTATTTGGGTCTCAACACATTCACTGTCATAACCCATAGTTTTCGCGGAAATATTGAATTCAATTCAAACCAAACAATCTTCGCTTTCTGTCGCACCTGTCGTGGCGTTGACGGCAACAACAGAAACGGTAGTTTCGATATAAAGTCGGGCGCCAACGGCCACAAGTAGTTCTTCGGCAAAGTTAGCAATCGCTCCAACACTGAGACTATAAGTGACGGCGAGTTTGAGTCAAACGAATTCAGAAACAATTGTCTTTCGTTTTGAGTTAAAACTTGTGGCGATTTAGAGGTCAGTTCTCTAGGATTCAATGGTTCCGAAGGTAACCAGTCTTTGACGAGACACAGGTGTGGGTAATGGTGTGACACGAGTCGCAGGAGGGATGAGATGATGACCCCATAGTTGTGTTGATCGTTTCGCGCCGATTGTATTAAAAAGAAAATCGGAATTTGAGCCAAAAATTCGGGCGAATATTTCATTACTTTTCTGTCTATGATTTGAGTGTTCTTTGAATGAGAGGACAGACGGATGTCTTCGTAAAGTAATACGAAATACAGTAATAATAGCTGTGATGTCAGTTCACACGACACCTCTTTCTCTGTGCCCTCCATTTGGTAGTCATTGCTATTGTCTTCGACTGAATAGACTTTATACTTAAAAATGCGGATAATTTCCTCTTCAGAAAAGGGTTCGTTAGTTGTATTTGAGGAGAGCTTAGGACTGGGATGTATGATGGAGTGGACGTACACCTCGACCAGTGGCATAAAAATGGGATGAATGGGTGGACTGGCGTTACAAATCTGTTTGAAAATCCAGTCTTTTATGGGAACCTTATGTTTAGTAAAGGCTCTGCTCTTGAGCAACTGGTAAATACAGTGCACCGGAAGGAAACCGGCGACAGAGCTGTTGAGGTTCTCAGTGACGGGCACTTTGACGGCGTGTGCGGTGACCGTCTGATCCGTGAATATCTCCTGAGTGAAGATGATTTTGATTCGATTCAGATTATTGGTACGAATGGGGAGTTTGATGCCTAACGTGGATGAGACCAACTCAGCGATAGCCGTCATTTGGTTTGAGTGGAAATGAATGGCAATTAAGAGCAACATTTCGCCGAACGACGACTTCACGTGAGTTATGCGCCCGAAATAGCTCTCCTCTTTGACCAACCATTTGATCCATTCGATGGCCTTCTGCTCGTTGTCTGCGCTCGTGATGAGCAGAGGCGACGACAATATCATACAAAGACCTAATGACACAAATCGGATGCCGATCTGATTGGGCGGCGGATGGCATATAATAAGCGCCACAATAGAGTTGGTCTCCTCTTCGGTGAACTTCATGTTCGCCACACCTCTTAAGGCACAGTAGAGTCGGATGAGAACACAGCCCTCAGACACACCCGACTCTAGACTGCCCTCCGATTTGAGGCCATTTTGTACCAAATTGTCGACACTCTTGAGTAACTGTTTCCTGAGGTCCACGAGACTCGTCTGAATGGACTGATCCATCTTCTTCTGGCCGATCCTTATGTAAGTGGAGAACCAGTTCCTAATCCTGTCGTCATTTCCCAACAGAATTCCCGTAATGAATGACACGATATCTGTTTGCGGCAAACAGTCACTCGATTTGTCTCTGTTCTCGATGTAGTCGAGTGTCAACTGAATGGTAAGACTCGGCATTCGGCACAACTCGACCGCTTCGGCCCTCACTGTCAGCGCTTCCGACGGATTCATTCGGCAGAGGAGTCGAAGGGCTGTGATTCGGGTGCGACCGCAGAAGGACTCGTCGTCGTGTTTGTCGCCATTGTTCAGAAGCGTAAGACAGATATCACCGAAAGATTCGGCAAAATTGGCCGCAATTCGACAGATAAGTGCCGTTCCGTTCTTCACGTGCAGTAACGCCTCCACGACATCCGGGATGAGCAGAGTGTTGGGCAGCTCTGCGATGGCAATGCACAGCACGTCCGACACCTCATCCAAGTAGACCTCATTGTCGAAGAGCTCCGACGGCCGAAGACCCGTCACCTGTTGTTGGCTCTGATGGACGGTTTGGCGCACGAAAGCCATGATTGAAATCAATTCACTCAACAAAAGCCTCAGTTTCCTGATGCCATCGCAGCGCTCGAACTCGAGGGCCAACCCGTCGGCCAGGGATGTGATGAGGAGTGAGTCGCTGGCATTGGAGCCTAACTTCAGCCGTAACTGTTGCTCTTTGCGGACGTCCATCTCGAGCGCGTGGAAGTCGAAGGACAAGAGATTCACCACATTATTGATCACTTCGATGCCGGACAGCATCTGCTGGATGTGTTTGCGGCGATCGGACCACTCGTCCGACGTGTCCAGTGGTATACACCATCCCATCCGCACGAGTGTCGGCAGAATGGGTCGGATGTCACTCGAGTCCAGTCTCTCGATGGCATCCAAGTTCATGTCACGGATCACGCAGAATGTCTTCGGCGATGGGATCAGACTTTGGGTGACGTTCAGCGCATTCATCGCATCCATTGTCGCGACAATTGTCACACGATTTGCACCACAATTGTCAACAAAATACTCACAAATAGTGTCCAATCGGTGGCCAATAGATGGCACTCAACACACACTCAATGAAATGCTATGCAATAGAAATCTCTGCCAAAAGTAATTTAATAATCATTTCTAATGTATTTCTTAATCACTTTATTAAGTGTTTTGAATTTATAATAGTTTGCAANTATTTAATATTATCTAAATTTAACGATAATGCTTTGAATAAAAAAAATTATACTTTCATTTAAATTATATTAGTATTAGAAATAAATGTTACCAAATGTAAAAAGTTTTCACATAAACCTTGATAATTAAGTTTTACACTTACTGTTAATGCAGTCTATTTTGTGTCTAAACTCTCGGAATATTCTGTGAAATAGTTTGCATTTAATGAGTGAATGAATCGATGTTTTGGTTTTAATTAAAGAGATTTTCGGCTAATCTATTATTTTTTGTTACATTTTCACTGATTATTAAAATAAGTTATTGAAATCAAAACTTTAATTTGATTTCATTATCAAAACTAAGTTTGAGAGTAAAGTTAAGTGAAATAAATGAATGAAAGCTAACAAAAATGAATTATAATTTGATTACAAACTGAATATAAAATGAGTTTCAATTCAAAAATGACTCAATTTTGTGGCAAAACAATGAAATATAAATTTATATGAATTTTGTGCGAATAATATGTTTCACGAAATGATATCATTCTTGGAATCAATGGTTCCCTCGAAGAGAAAGCTGTCGACAGTATCCCAGAGATCTGTTCCTTCATTTTCCTCTTGCCTTTTGGGGGTCTTTTGCCGACCGCTATCATTGTCTCGACGGTGTAGACATACCTGGAGGCGCCCACCACTTGGAAGGCCTTCTCGTAGTTGAAGCCTCCCATGGCGTGCACGACATACCCGCGCGCC